CTTCAATTCTTTATCATTGTTTCTGCCTTTGCAGAAACACACAGATTTTGGTGGTCTCTGATTTTGGTTCTTTAATCTGTCAATGACCAAAGGGATGTAACACCCAAACTGCAGATTCAGCCTGGCTGCAAACTCCATATAAAGTCTCAGTAGAAATATTATTCCTCCATCCCACTGTAACAGGTACCCTGAGTTAGCAGGAATCCTTAAAGGAATTCAATTTAAAAGCATTTCCAGCTCTCCACCTGTGGATTTTCTGAGAGATACTACATGTTCATGGACTGCTGTGCATCCTAAGATACTCGGGGTAAAACTTGCCCATCTGTATCTTCTAACATGAGCTTTTCTATTTCTGAACCCCTGCAGTTTAAGTAGGTGTTAGAAATACACCCAATACACTGCACTGAACTGCTGTGATTCTGCCTTTGCTACACAACCAGCACAACCACCCCTGCAGAAGGTCAGAAGGCTGAGGGAACCAGAACAGGCAGCTTGGGGCATGCATTAAAATAAACATTTGTTTTTTTAAGTCACTGCCCTGAGATCCATGTTGCCCCAGAATGCCTCAGAATGCCCCAAAAATGAGCAACACCTCATGGGCAGACACATCCAAGAGACGTTTGCTCAAAACCACCACACCAACTCCACCAAGGAACCCTCCAGCAGAGGCACTGACCCAGCACAGCTCTCCAAAGCAACACTGACTTGCCCTCACCAGCTCTTTCTTCCACACCATTCCATGATTGGTTCATCTTCCGGTTCAGGTCAGCTGCAGCCAGCTCTGCACCTCGGATTTACACCAAAGGCTCAAGGGGGCCTGTTAAGTTTTCCATTTATGAGTAGAGAACCAGACAGAGGTGATACAAGTAGCATCACTTGATGTCTCATCCGGAGGTGGCTGGAGCACTAAAAGGTGACACTGAGCTCAAGTCTGATGTTCATATTTGCTTGACAGGATTTTGACATCCAGATCCTTGTAATGGTATTTAATTGATGAAATGTATTTTCTTTTTATTTTGTCAAAACCTGCTCTATTTAAGGTACGCATCACAACTACCACAGCCTCATGAAAGTGTGAACTTCACACTCCCCAGCAGCCTGACAGCACCTTTCCTCACTCACCAACATGCTTTGATGCCCAATCCAGCACACCCAGTTCAAAACCATTTTCCATAACTCAGCTCTGAGTACCAGCCCCCATGGCAAATGACATCGAAGCCAGCAGCACCTGATTTCTGACAGACCAAGGAAAATAAAGGAGCTTCTTTTTCAAAGGACTCAGGAAAAAAAAAAAACCAC